ATGATTAATTATCTTCAAAAAAATTCTGTGTATTAACTACTATTATCACAATCATTTTACATTTAAGGGGACAATAGCAATTAAAGGTTAGATCGCTTGCCTTTGGTCACCCAGGTCATAAATGAAGATCTAGAATTCTTCACCCAGGCAGTCTGGCATCAGAGCCTACCTTGTAACGATTATACTATACCCTCTCCTAAAACTGAAAAGGCTGGTAGGATTATCACTATAATTAACCTACAGCCTAGTCAATTCCAGTAGTAAGATAATCTTCATAGTAACATATCTCCTCTGGGTTGTACATAGACATATATATTGGATTCAGAAGGGTATGGTAGGCATCTGCCCTAAAGTAAACAGAAATGGGTCAACTGTGACCACTCCAAACAAAGAAATGTTTTAAGGGTAGACAAATATACACATACAAAATTAATTACTAAAAGGAAGGACCACTCCAATTATTTCATGCTCAAATGGTCTTTCCACTTCTGCTGCTTTCTAGCTAAGAGATCGAGAGGAATGCAAATGAAAGACTCAGAAATGCAAAAGCATCACATTGAAAATAACAGCTGGAAGCTTAATCCAAAGATATTGTAGGTATATATATTTTATGAAAATGACAGATGTAGATGAATCATTTTTAAAGTTATGTAAAGTGTGATAAGTCATTTATATAAAACCCAAATAGAATACAATTCTTTAAATTTTAGTTTCACTAATTTAAAGTAATAGAGATGATTTTGATTGCCACAATTCATTATATTCCTACTGTGGGTTATGTACTATACTCTTCACTTAAACCCAAATATTTTCTTTAATCTATTTTTTTCAAAATTCTTGAAAATAATTGGAATATGCTTATTTTACAGGTAAGAATATTTAGGATTAAATAATTAATTTTCCCCCAAATCACACTAATAGAGGCAAAGTGAGGCTTTGAACTCAAGGACAAGGAACAGTGTCTAATACATTTTTACCTATAATGCTCTAATCAATTAATTAGCATTTTCTCATTTATGTCTGATAGATATTCAGTGGAGGGATAAACATAATATATTTCAATTTATATGAACCATAGCTGCTGATGGTTTACTTACTGGAAAAGAGGATTGGTGTCAGGTAAAACTGTAAAATAATCAAATTTACTCAGAAACCATCCTTCTTTTCTTTTTTATTAATTTATTTTATTTTTTAAAATTTAAGTTCTTAATTGTTTAATGTATTACGTAAGTCCCCTTTCCCCCCATTGACCTCTCCCCAGCAGACCCCAAACCCCAGCACATGCCCTCACTGCCCCCACCCTCGCTGTCTGTGTCTATTGGTTATGCTAATATGCATGCAAACAAGTCCTTTGGTTGATCTATTACCCCCCTCACCCTCCACCTTCCCTCATAGGATGGAGTCTATTCAATGGTTCTATGACTCTGATTCTGTTATTGTTCATCAGTTTATGTTGTTCATTATATTCCACAAATGAGTGAGATCATGTGATGTTTATCTTTCTCTGGCTAGCTTATTTTGCTTAGCATAATGCTCTCCAGTTCCATCCATGCAAATGGTGAGAATTCCTTCTTTATTACAGCAGTGTAGTATTCCATTGTGTAGATATACCACAATTTTCTAATCCACTCATCTGCTGATGGGCACTTAAGCTGTTTCCAAATCTTAGCTATGGTGAATTATGCCACTATGAACATAGGGATGCATATATCCTTTCGGATTGGTGTTTCTAGTTTCTTGGGATATATTCCTAGAAGTGGGATTACAGGGTCAAATGGGAGTTCCATTTTTAGTTTTTTATGGAAACTCCATACTGTTCTCCAAAGTGACTGCACCAGTCTGCATTCCCACCAGCAGTGCACGAGGGTTCCTTTTTCTCCGCATCCTCGCCAGCACTTGTGGTTTGTTGAATTGTTGTTGATAGCCATTCTGACAGGTGTGAGATGGTACCTCATTGTCCTTTTTATTTGCATCTCTCCAATGTTTAGTGACTTTGAGAATGTTTTCATATGTCTTTTGGCCTTCTGTATGTCCTTTTTCAAAAGGTGTCAATTTAGGTCCTCTGCCCATTTTTTGATTGGATTGTTTATCTTCCTTTTGTGAAGTTGTAAGAGTTCACCATAAATTTTGGAGATTAAACCCTTATTGGAATAACATTGGCAAATGTGTTCTCCCATCCAGTGGACTTTCTTGTTTTGTTGATGGTTCTTTTGCTGTGCAGAAGCTTTTTATTTTGATGTAGTCTCATTTGTTTATTTCTTCTTAGTTTCCATTGCCCTAGGAGCTATATTGGTAAAGATATTGCTACGACATATGTCTGTCACTTTGTTGCCTATGTTGTCTTGTAGAATTTTTATGGTTTCCCATCTTACGTTTAAGTCCTTTAGACATTTTTAGTTTGTTTTTATGTATGGTGTAAGTTGGTGATCTAGTTTCATTTTTTCCATGTATCTGACAAAATTTCCCAGCACCATTTATTGAAGAGACTCTCTTGACTATTGTATGCTCTTGCCTCCTTTGTCAAATATTAATTGAGCATAGTAGCTTGGGTCGATTTCTGGGTTCTCTGTTCTGTTCCATTGGTCTATATGTCTGTTCTTGTGCCAGTACCAGGCCTTTTTGAGAACCCTGGCTTGGGAATATAGCTTGTTATCTGGTATAGTGATCCCTCCAACTTTGTTCTTCTTTCTCAGGATTGCTGTGGCTATTCGGGGTCCTTTTTTATTCCTGATGAAGTTTTGGAGAGTTTTTTCTAGATCTGTGAAATATGCAGTTGGTGTTTTAATGGGGAGTGCATTGAATCTGTAGATTGCTTTGGGTATGATGGACATTTTAATGATGTTGAATCTACCAATCCATGAACATGGTATGTTCTTCCATTTGCTTCTTTCTTCCCCTATCTCTTTTTTCAATGTCCTGTAGTTTTCTGAGTACAGGTCTTTTACCTCCTTAGTTAACTTTATTCCTAGGTATCTTAATTTTTTTTTGGTACAATGGTATATGGGGTTGTTTTTTTTTTCATTTCTTTTTCTGTGAGTTCAATATTGGTGTATAAAAAGGCCATAGATTTCTGGATGTTAATTTTGTATCCTGCTACATTCCCGAATTCATTTATTAGGTCTAGTAGTTTTTTGATGAAGTCCTTGGGGTTTTCCATGTATAGTATCATGTCATCTGAGAATAAGGACAGTTTTACTTCTTCTTTTCCAATTGCATGCCTTTTATTTCTTCTTCTTGTCTGATTGCTATGGCTAGCACTTCCAGTACTATATTGAACAGGAGTGGTGAAAGTGGGCATCCCTGTCTTGTTCCTGTTCTTAGCGGAAATAAGTTTATGTAGATTTTGCCCATTGAGAATGAGGTTGACTGTAGATTTGTCACATAAGGCTTTTATTATGTTGAGGTATGATCCCTCTATTCCCACTGGTGAGAAAGGGTATTGGATTTTTCAAATGCTTTTCTGCATTGATTGTTATGATTATATGATTTTTATCTCTCACTTTGTTTACGTGATGTATCACGTTTATTGATTTACAGATATTGTACCATCCTTGCATCCCCGGAATAAAACCAACTTGGTAATGGTGTATGATCTTTCTAATGTATTGCTGAATCTGATTTGCTAGACGTATGTTGAGGATTTTAGCATCTATGTTCATCAAGGATATTGGCCTATAGTTCTTTTTTTGTGGTGCCTTTTTAAAAAAATCTTTACTGTTCAGATTATTACAGATGTTCCTCTTTTTTCCCCCCATAGCTACTCTCCACCGGGTTTCCACCCCACTCTAGGCCTACCCCCCCCCCACTGGCCTCATCCATATGTGTAATCTCTTTGTCCAATCTCTTCCCGAACCACCCACAACCCCTTCCCCTCAAGAATTGTTAGTCTGCTCCCTTTCCAAGCCCCTGATTCTATTGCATTCACCAGCCTGTTCTGTTCATCAGGTTTTTTATTCATTTCATTTTTAGATTCACTTATTGATAGATATGTATTTGTTGTCACTTTGTTGTTCACAATTTTTTTATTTCTATCTTTTTCTTTTTCTTCCTCTTCTTAGAGAATACCCTTCAGCATTTCATATAATACTGGTTTGGTGGTGATAAACTCCTTTAACTTTTTCTTGTCTGTGAAGCTCTTTATCTGATCTTCAATTCTAAATGATAGCTTTACTGGGTAGAGTAATCTTGGTTGTAGGTTCTTGCTATTCATCACTTTGAATATTTCTTGCCGCTCCCTTCTGGCCTGCAAAGTTTCCGTTGAGAAATCAGCTGACAGTCGTATGGGTACTCCCTTGTAGGTAACTGACTTTTTTTCTCTTGCTGCTTTTAAGATTCTCTCTTTGTCTTTTGCTCTTGGCATTTTAATTATGATGTGTCTTGGTGTGGTCCTCTTTGGATTACTCTTGTTTAGGGTTCTCTGCACTTCCTGGACTTGTAAGTCTATTTCTTTCACCAGGTAGGGGAAGTTTTCTGTCATTATTTCTTCGATTAGGTTTTGAATATCCTGCTCTCTCTCTTCTTCTAGCACCCCCATAATTTGGATGTTAGTATGCTTGAAGTTGTCCCAGAGGCTCCTTACACTATCTTCATATTTTTGGATTCTTTTTCTTTTTGCTTTTCCAGTTAGGTTTTTTTGTTTGTTTGTTTGTTTGTTTTGCTTCTTCATATTTCAAAGCTTTGACTTGATTCTTTGGATCCTCTAGTCTGCTGTTGGATCTCTGTATATTATTCTTTATTTCAGTCATTTATTTCAGTCAGTGTATGCTCAATTTCTGATTGGTCCTTTTTTCATATCTTTGAGGGTCTCACTAAATTTCTTGGAGGTTTCTAGAAGATTCTTGAGTAACCTTACAACCGTGATTTTGAACTTTATATCCAGTATTTTGCTTTCATCCATTTATTTTGTTTGTGACTTGTTTCTTTGTCTCCACATTTTGGCTGCTTCCCTGTGTTTGTTCCTATGTACTGGGTAGCTGCTAATCTCCTTGAGTTGATAGAGTGGCCTTGTGTGGTAGGTGTCCTATAAGGCCCAGTCGTTCAGCCTCCCCAGTCACTTGAGTTGAATGCTCTTGGTGCACCTCTTTGTGAGCTGTTTGCACAGTCATGTTGTAGTTAACCCTTGATTGTTGTTGGTATTAGAGGAATTGACCTCCAAGCCAATTGGTTGTGATGACCAGCTGTGTCTACACTGGAATTTCTGTTGCACAGGTGACACCCTTATGGGGCAGGACTTGCTTTAGTGGGGCTTTGGTGCTCACTGAGTCTGCCTCTTGAGTGTGTCTCTTATGGATGTGAAGAGTTGTAATCTGGTATGGTCTCACTCTGACCACTGGGTACACTGGCTCTTGGATCTCCAAGGAGGTACAAGGTCAGTCACTGTCTGGGGCCGCCCAGCAGGAGCTACAGAGATATCTTTAGATTCCTCCTCTTTGTATGGGGTTTGGAAGTGCCCAGACAAGGCCCAACTGTGAAGCAAGGCAGGCTTCTACTGCTGGGCCTTGGGCCTTCTTTTGGAAACTCTAGTGCTCTCTGACCCACCTGCAGTTTGACAGATTTTAGGCAGAGAAAGGACGGGCCATTCAAATGCAAAAGCAAATGCACACAGCTTGGGTGGGGTTGTATATTCGGTGTGGCGAGGTCTCACCAGGGCAGAGCATACAGCAATGGCCCTCAGTCAGCCCTGCTCCAGAGAGGTCCCTGGGTCTCTGCATCCCACACCCCTGTGCAGGAACAATGATCGCTGTGAGCACCTCTGAGAGAAAGCCGCCCATGCGTTCCCCTCCCGACGCCAGTCAGTCCAGTTTCTCCCCGTATGTGCCTGGATCCCCCAGAGTCTTGCCCAGAACTGGAGTTCAGAGAAAGCGGGAGCTTGTATCTACCTTCCTTAACTCTTGTTATGGCCTTCACTTTGAAGTCTATTTTGATAGATATAAGTATTGCTACCCCTGTTTGTTTTTCTTTTCCATTTGCCTGAAAGGTATTTTTCCATCCCTTCTTTTTCAGTCTATCTAAGTCTCTTGTTCTGAGGTATGTCTCTTGTCGACAGCAAATATTTGGGTCATGTTTTCTTACCCATTCAGCCACTCACTGCCTTTTTATTGGAGCATTTAACCCATTTCCATTTAAAGTTATTATTGATAGGTACGTGTTTGTAGCCATTTTTATTTTTTGCCTGTGTTCCCTCTTCTCCTTTATTTATTTATTTTTTCTTCTTTTTACAATTGTCACTTTAACATTTCTTGAATTGCTGGCTTGGTAGTGGTAAACTCCCTTCACTTTTCTTTGTCGGTAAAGCTCCTGATTTCCCCTTCAATTTTGAATGATAGCCTGCTGGATAGAGTATTCTTGGATTATATCCCTTATTTTGTGTTACTTTGTATACTTCCTTCAATTCCTTTCTGGCCTGATGTATTTCTATTGAGAAATAATTTGAAAATCTAATGGGAGATCCCCTGTAGGTAACTTTCTGTCTCTTTCTTGCAGCCTTTAAGATTCTCTCTTTGTCATTAACGTTTTCCATTGTAATTACGATATGTCTTGGTTTGGGTCTTTTTGTATTCATCTTGTATGGGACTCTCTGTGCTTGTGTGCCTTTTTTCTTCCCCACATCATGGAAGTTTTCTGACATTATTTCTTTGAATAGGTTTTCTAACCCCTGCTCTTGTTCTTTTTGTTCTGGCACCCCTACTACAGTGGGGCCTTGACTTATGAGTGTCCCGACTAAGGAGTTTTTTGAGATACCAGCTGTCTCTCAGCCAATTTTTTGCATTGAGTTGATAGAGTAATTTGAGTTAACGGGCTCCTTAACAAGCTCCTTAATGAGCTCAGTCTCAGAACGAATTAAACTCGTAAGTCAAGGCCCCACTGTATATGTATGTTGCTTCATTTCATGTTGTTACAAAGCTCCCTCAGGCTCTTCTCCTGTCTTTTCATTTTTATCTCCAATTTCAGTTCAGATTAGGTGTGTATTGCTTCCCTATCTTCTAATTCACTAATTCATTCCTCTGCTTCTCCTATTCTACTGTTGAAAGCTTCTATAGTGTTTTTTATCGTAGCTATATCACTTTTTATTTCTTCTTGGGTCTTCTATAGGTTGTTGATGTTCTCACCCATTTGGTTTATGAACTGTATGACCATTATTCTGAATTCTTTTTCTGACAAATTGCATGCCTCCATTTTATTTATTTCCTTTTCTGGTGATTCCTCCGTTTCTTTCCTTTGGGGGTTGTTCTTCTGTCTCTCCATTTTTGCTCTCACTGAAGGATCTAGGTGTCAAGGTGCGTGAGGCTGCTGTGGAGGGCCTGGTGGCGGGTTATGCTTTTGCATATGCCCTGATTTCAGTGTATGCCATTTAGTGCCAGGCAGCGGTGCCCTAGGAGCATGCTCTTCCAGCATCCTTCTCCTTGTCTTTGGTCAGATTGATCAAATGCCTGCTGACAGATGCTGAGCCAAGAAGTAGAATCTCAAAACAGGTTTTTGATATCAGTAATGTGGTGTACATGAACCAATGGCACCATGTTTGATGAACTATATGCCTGAAGCAAGTAAGCACATAGCTCAAAAAGATACTGAGTGATGTTTCCCAAAATATAACTATATAGAGTAAAGGAGAGATAGAACATGTCCAGCCAATATTGCAAGTTTTATACCTGTCCCCAGAGACAAGGGTTATAAAGAGTTTCTATAAAATATTTAAACGTTTGCACTGTTATGGCCTAACACCAAAAATATCTTTGTTCTCCTTTTGTTTCCCCCCTAGAGCAGTTTAAGTAATTCACCTAAAGTTGCAGAGCAAAGGGGATGAATACCAGGGACTTTCATTTTTCAGAGGTATATTTTGTGTCAAATTTGGATGCCTTGTTAAAAATGGGTTTTCTTTTTATTTTTGCAACACATGTCTTTTTGCCTCTTCATTTATATAGCAAATTTAAAAAAACCATTAAAAAATTAGTGGTCACTGATTTTAAAATAGATGTGTTTCTGTCCATTGAGGAAACCAGCTGTTCATATGTTCCATTTGTGATTGTTTGCTATTTTTGTGATGATAAATGGTTGAATTTTTTTTTTCATGAAGGAATCCTGCAGAGCTCTGACCAAGAGAATTTTCTAATACACAGCAGTTTTAAACAGCTTCTCCAGAATGTAATAGTCCCTTTGCATGTGCTACCATTATGAGCTAAAGCTTAAATGGAACAAAGTCATGAAGGCCTTCTCCTGTTGTCAATTTATATCAAGAACTCAAAACATTGCCCTTGTATGTATTCAACATATCTCTGCTGTCTCAGACACATAAAATATCTCTTCTTCTTTTTTCATTTCTCATTTTATTTACATGCTTACCCATTGTGGTCTACAATCTACATTATCACCATCAGCTGAGAGCTTGTTAGAAATTGCAGACTCTTTGGCCTCATCTCAGACCTACTGAATCAAAATTTACATTTTAATAGGATTCTAAGGTGATTCATGTGCACATTAAATTTTGATAAGCACTGATCTGTAATGGAGTTCTTCAACCATGGTTCATCATTAAAATATGTATTAAAAGACTTTAAAAAAAACTGATACTTGACCCTAACCATTTAATTCATTAATTAGCTTGGTGTAGAATCTGGTGATTCTAATATTGAGCTTATGAAGTTATTTTTTATTATTATTCCAGATGTTCAGATATGTTGACTTTGCACTTGACTATGGATAATCCAACTGTGCCCTACTTCCATTCATCCCTAACATCAACTTCTTGACACCAACCTATCTTTTACCTTATTTCTATTAGTGATGGTCAATGTCTTTGAGAAATAAAATGAACACTCCCAAACTAATTCTTGCAGTTTTGCCACTCGACATAATTTTCCTTAATTTTTGTTGTTAAATGTTGGCTACTGGCATACTCATATCTGAGCCCTGGATATTTGGCATGTGACTAGTTGAGACTTCACCAGGGCACATCCCTAAGATAAGAAACCAAAGAATTTCTGACATAATTAACTTTGAACTGCTTAGTAAAATTAGAATTTCCATTTTTCCCACCCCAAACTTGATTGAGTGCTATTAACTCTGTTACTGAAAGGTACTCACTACTGAATGGAGTCATCATTATGAAATCACCAGAGGCCCAATGCATGAAATTAGTGCAAAGGGCATGGCCCTCCCAGCATCCCCAGCTACCGCCTCAGCACTTGCAGCAGCCCCGGCTGCCTCACGGTCCCACCCCCCACCCACTGGTCTTTCTGGAAGCTTATCCCAGGAGGTCATTACGGAAGGTCATTCCGCCATCCAGCCTAATTAGCATATTAGCTCTTTATTAGATAGGATTTGTTAGAACTGGGATCTATATGAAATGTGCTTACCTCTTCCTGGTTAGTCATAATAAGTAAATCATAATTATAAAATGAAAATACTCTTTATTAAGAACATTAACTCAAAGTTTTTTCTCATTCATATTGATATAATAATAGGCATTTAGTTTTCTGTGAATTTGCCATGTTCATTATGCAAAATTTATTGCAAACTATATTTTTCAATCACATTAAATGAGTAGGAGTACAGAAAAGATGACTTTCTTTTGAAAGTGATTAAAATGATATTTTCAACTTGAATGAAGCTGAAGAAATACACTCATAATTTTCATTATAAACATTGAGTGACTTCTTTAATTTAAATTTTTTATTGTTAAAAGGATTACATTTTCCCCCATTGACCTCTCCCCGTGTGGTTCCACACCCCAGCACATGCCCTCAATACCCTACTGTCTGTGTACATTGATAATGCTCATATGCAAGCATACAAATCCTTGGTTGATCTCTTACTGCCTCACCCCACACCTTCCCTCATAGGTTGGATAGTCTGTTCAATGCTTTTATGACTCTGGTTCTATTTTTGTTCATCAGTTTATGTTGTTCATTATATTCCACAAATGAGTGAGATCATGTGATATTTATCTTTCTCTGACTGGCTTATTTTGCTTAGCATAATGCTCTCCAGTTCCATCCATGTTACAAATGGTAAGAATTTCTTCTTTTTTATAGCAGCATAGGATTCCATTGTGTAGATGTACCACAGTTTTTTAATCCACTCATCTGCTGATGGGCACTTAGGCTGTTTCCAAATTTTAGATATGGTGAATTTTGCCGCTATGAACATAGGGGTGTATATATCCTTTCTGATTGGTGTTTCTAGATTCTTGGGATATATTCCTAGAAGTGGGATCACTAGATCAAATGGGAATTTCATTTTTAATTTTTTAGGAAACTCCATACCGTTCTCTACAGTGGCTCCACCAGTCTGCATTTCCACCAGCAATGCAAGAGTGTTCATTTTTCTCTGCATCCTCACCAGCACTTGTCATTTGTTGATTTGTTGATGATAGCCATTCCAACAGGTGTGAGAGGGTATCACATAGTTGTTTTGATTTGCATCTCTTGGGTGATTACTTACTTTGAGCATGTTTTCATATATCTCTTGGCCTTTCTTATGTCTTCTTTCGAAAAATATCTATTTAGGTCCGTTGCCCATTTTTTGATTGGGTTGTTTATCTTCCTTTGTTAAGTTGTATGAGTTCCTTGTAAATGTTTGAGATTAAACCCTTATCAGTGATAACAATAACAAATATGTTCTCCCATGCAGTGGGCTTTCTTGTTGTTTTGTTGATGGCTTCTTTAGCTATGCAAAAACTTTTTATTTTGATGTATTCCCATTTGTTTATTTTATCTTTAGCTTCCATTGCCCTAGGAGCTGTGTCCGTGAAGAAATTGCTTCAGCATATGTCTGAGATTTTGCTGCCTGTGGATCCCTCTAGTATTTTTATGTTTTCCCGTCTTATATTTAAGTCCTTTATCCATTTTGAGTATTTTTGTGTATGGTGTAAGATGGTGGTCTAGCTTCATTTTTTTACATGTATCTGTCCAATTTTCCCAACACCATTTATTGAATAGAATTTCTTGACTCCATTGTATGTTTTTGCCTCCTTTGTCAAATATTAATTGAGCATAGTGGTTTGGGTCAATTTATGGGTTGTCTATTTTATTATTCCATTGAATATGTCTGTTCTTGTTCCAGTACCAGGCAGTTTTGAGAACAGTGACTTTGTAATACAGCTTGATATCTGGTATTGAGATCGCACCTACATTGTTCTTCTTTCTAAGTATTGCTGCGGCTATTCGGTTGAATCTATAGGCTGCTTTGGGTATTATGGACATTTTAATGATATTGATTCTACCAATCTATGGACAAGGTATGTTCTTCCATCTGTTTATGTCTTCCTCTATCTCTTTATCAGTATCATGTAATTTTCCGCATATAGACCTTTTACATCCTTAGTTGAGGATATTCCTAGGTATCTTAATTTTTTTGGTGCAATGGTAAATGGGATTGCTTTTTAAGTCTCTCTTTCTGTAAGTTCACTATTGGTGTATAGAAATGCCATAGATTTCTTGGTGTTAATTTTCTGAATTTATTAAGTCTAATAATTTTTGATGGAATCTTTAGGGTTTTCTATGTATAGTATCATGTCATCTGAGAATAAGGACAGTTTTACTTCTTTTCCAATTTGGTGCCTTTTATTTCTGCTTCTTGTCTGATTGCAATGGCTAGTACATTCAATACTATGTCAAACAGGAGTGGTGAAAGTGGGCATCCCTGTCTTGTTCCTGTTCTTAGGGGAAATGATTTTAGTTTTTCCCATTGAGTACAATGTTGGCTGTGGGTTTGTCATATATGGCTTTTATTATATTAAGGTATTATCCTTCTATTCCCATCTTGCTGAGAGTTTTTGTCAAGAAAGGATGCTGCATTTTCTCAAATGCTTTTTCTGCATCAATTGATATGACTATGTGATTTTTATCTCTAAATTTCTTTATGTGATATATCACATTTATTGATTTGCGGATAATGTAGCATTCTTGCATCCCTGTGATAAATACTACTTGAACATAGTGTATGATCTTTGTGATGTAATGCTGTATCTGTTTTGTTAGAATTTTGTTGAGGATTTTGGCATCTATCTTCATGACGGATATTGTCCTGTAATTCTCTTTCATTGTGTTGTCTTTATCTGGTTTTGGTATTAGGGTCATGATGGCTTCATAGAATGATCTTGGAAGGGTTCCTGCCTCTTGAATTTTTTGGAATAGTCAGAGGAGGATAGGTTTTAGTTTTTCCTTGAAAGTTTGGTAAAACTCCTCTTTGAAACCATCTGGCCCCGGGCTTATGTTTGCTGGAAGCTCTTTGATGACTGCTTCAATTTCTTTCATAGTTATGGGCCTATTGAGATTTTTAGATTATTTCTGATTGAGTTTTAGAAGGTTGTATTTTGTAGGAATACTTCTATTTCCTCTAGGTTGTCTAGTTTTTTTGAATAGAGTTGTTCATAGTATTTTTTAATAATCCTTTTTATTTCTATAGCATCTGTTGTTATTTAGCATCTTTAATATCTGATTTTGTTTATTTGGGTCCTCTCTCTTTGTTTCTTGGTGAGCCTGGCTAGAGGTTCATTTATCTTGTTTGTCTTTTTAAAGAACAAGCTCTTGGTTTCATTGATCTTTTGTATTGTTTTTAAGGTCTCTATGTCATTTATTTCTGCTCTTCTGATTTTTATCTCCTTCTTTTTGTTCATTCTGTGCTTTTCTTGTTACTCTCTTTCTAATTCTTTAAGTTGTAGAGTTAGATAATTTACTACCATTTTTTCTTTTTTTTGAGATAGGCCTGTAGAGCTGTAAAATTCCCTCTCAGGACTGCTTTCATTTTGTCCCATAGGTTTTGCATTGTTGTGCTTTCATTGTTATTCCTTTCCAGAATGTTTTTAATTTATTCTTTGATTTCTTTGTTAACCCTATCATTGTTTAATAGCATACTATTCAGCTTCCAAGTGTTTGAATTTTTGGATTGTTTTTATTGTTGTTTATTTCTAATATTATGCCATTGTGGTCTAAGAAGATGCTTGGTATGATTTCAATCTTCTTGAACTTGGTGAGACTTTGTTTGTGACCCAATATGTGGTCTATTTTTGAAAATGTCCCATGAGGAGAGACTTTGCTTGTGACCCAATATGTGCTCTATCTTTGAAAATGTCCCATGTGCACTTGAGAAGAATGTATATTCTATGGCTTTAGGGTGAAAAGCTCTGAATATGTCTATTATGTCCATCAGATCTAGTGAGTAATTTAGGATTGCTATTTTTGCTGATTTTTTGTCTAGAGGATTTATCCAGTGATGTCAATGCTGTATTAAAGTCTCTTACTATGATTGTGTTGCTGTCGATCTCTCTCTTGATATCTTCCAGGAGATTTTTTATGTATTTGGGTTCTCCTGCATTGGGTGCATATATGTTTATCAGGGTTATATCTTCTTGTTGTATCAATCCCTTTAGTATTATGAAGTGGCCTTCCTTATCTCTTGATATGGCCTTTGCTTTGAGGTCTGTTTTTCCAGATATAAGTATTGCTACCCCAGCTTTTTTTTCCATTTCCATTTTCCTGGAAGATATTTTTCCATCCCTTCACTTTCAGTCTGTGTGAGTCCCTTGTTCTGAGGTGGGTCTCCTGTAGACATCCAATATATGGATCATGTTTTTTTTTATCCATTCAGCCACTCAATGTCTTTTGATTGGAGCATTTAGTCCATTTACATTTAAAGTTATTATTAATAGGTACTTGTTTGTAGCCATTTTTAATTTTTTGTGCCTGTATTCCTTCTCACTTTTTTATTTCTTCTTTTTACTCCAGTCCTATTAGCATTTCTTGCATTCCTAACTTTGTAGTGATAAACTCCCTCAGTTTTTTTTGTTTTGTTTGTTTTTGTTTGTTTGTTTTGTCTGTGAAGCTCCTTATTTCCCCTTCAATTTTAAATGATAACCTTGATAGATAGAGTATTCTCGGTTGCAGTCCCTTGCCTTGCATCACTACGTAAATTTCCTTATATTCTTTTCTGGCCTGATGTGTTTCTGTTGAGAAATCACTTGATAATCTAATAGGAGATCCCTTGTATGTAACTTTCTGTCTCTCTCTTGCAGCCTTTAAGATTCTCTCTTTGTTCTGAACAGTTGCCATCATAATTATGATGTATCTTGGTGTTGGTCTTTTCAGATGCATCTTTTATGCAACTCTCTGTGCTTGTGTGACTTTTTTCTTCCCCACATCAGGGATGTTTTCTGACATTATTTCTTCAAATAGGTTTTTCTAACCCTTGTTTCTCTTCCTGTTGGTCTGGCACCCCTATTATTCATATGTTGCTTTGTTTCATGTTGTCCCTCAGCTCCCTTAGGCTCTCCTCCTGTCTTTTAATATTTTTCTCCAATTGCAGTTCAGTTTGGATGTGCTTTTCCTCCCTGTCTTCTAATTCACTAATCGGGTCCTCTGCTTCTCCTAGTTCACTGTTGAAACTTTCCATGGTGTTTTTTATTGTAGCTATATCACTCTTTATTCTGATTCTTACATACGTTGTTGATTTTTTCATCCATCCTGTTTATGAACTGTATGACCATTATTCTGAATTATTTTTCTGACATATTGCATCCCTCCATTTCACTTAGCAGCTTTTCTGGAGATTTCTCCTTTTCTTTCCTGTGGGGCTTTCTCTGTCTACCCATTTTGTTCTCATGAAAGGATCTAGATGTGGAGTCTTGCAGGGGCTGCTCCTTTGGTGTCAGTGGCTACTTAGGTAGCAGTTGCTCCTTGGATGGTCATGGCAATGGCTGCTCCTCAGTGGCAGCAGCTCCTCTGGTGGGTGCTGTTTGCAGCAGCATGACTCCTCTGGCTGCTGTGGGGAGGTTGTTCATGCAGCTGCTGCTCCTCGGATGGGGGTGGGCTGCTTGTGTGC